GAAGTTTTGCGCACAGATATGTCTGATAACTGTGAAAATATCCTGAAAGTTTCAGCTCTTGTGAATCCAATATGAGATCAAACGGCAGGTATCAGTTCGAATAATTTCCTCGTCAGATAATCGAATCCTCTTAACTTTTTATACTACTCACCATGGCTTCTTACCTGAATATAGTCTTGATCAAAATGCTATCGGATACTTGGAAACGTCCCTTTGTATGAAAAAAAATTTTTTAATTTAAATATTAAAAAAAATTATATTTTAGTGCTCAAAAAGAAATGGATAAAGGTGAATACCTCTTCTTTCTAACAGGTGGTATTGGTTTAGAAAATAAACATAAAAATCCTGGTCAAGGTTGGCTTTCCGACAAATCTTGGGATGAATTATGTCGTTTATCTGATTTACCGAAATTTGTTGGACTTCGGTAAGATAAATTCGTCAATCACAAACAAACAATTAAACTTCTAATTACTTTTTCTTTTTTTGTTTTCAGTGAAAGTTTTGAATCAAATATTGAAGTATTTAAATCAATATATGATGCAAAAGATCCTGTGACAGTTGAATTACCTTCACCATGGAATGAAAAATTTGATCAATTTCAAAAAATGACTGTTGTTCGTGTTATACGTCCCGATAAAGTTGTACAAATGGTTGTTGAATTTGTTAAAAAAAATTTAGGACAAAAATTTGTTGAACCACCACCATTTGATTTAGCAAAAAGTTTTGCTGATTCACATGCATTAGCACCAATTGTTTTTATTCTGTCACCTGGTGCTGATCCAATGGCTCAATTAGTTAAAATTGCTAAAGATAGAGGATTTTTTGAAAAAAAATTTCATTATATTTCACTTGGTCAAGGACAAGTTAGTCATCATTTCTTTGATTAAATTAAAAAATTAATTTTTTTGTTTTTTTTTCCAAGGGTCCATTTGCTTCAGCAATGATACAACGAGCACAAAGTGATGGTGGTTGGGTATGCTTACAAAATTGTCATTTAGCTGTTAGGTAAAAGAAAGACATAATCAATTTTCTTTTGGAATTTTTGAATTAAAATTTTTTATTTAGTTGGATGCAAACATTAGAAAAAATTTGCGAAGATTTTTCATCTGAAAATACAAATTCCGAATTTCGATTATGGTTAACATCATATCCATCGCCAAAGGTTATTTGAACTGTTTCAAAAAAAAATCTTTAATTATATCTTCTTTCTTTTTCTTTTAGTTTCCAGTAACGATTTTACAAAATGGTGTTAGTAAGTATCGAATATATATTTTTTGTATTGAATTCATATAAGAAATATAATAGAATTAACAAATGAACCACCTACGGGTCTTCGAATGAATATGTTACAGTCCTATTTAAATGCACCCATATGTGAACCGGCATTTTTTGAGAAAATTGATGAAGGAAAAGATGCTGTATGGGAAAGACTATTATTTGGTCTTTGCTTTTTTCATGCACTTGCACAAGAAAGAAGAAAATTTGGGTATGAGAAAAAACAAACTGTTTTTAATTGAGGATTATATTTATAAAACATTAACTTTCTTAGACCACAAGGATTTAATATTCCATATGGATTTAATGAGTCAGATTTGTTGATTTCTGTTCGACAACTTCAAGTATGTTGCATTGTTATAAATGAATATATTTTTTTCGAACTTTTTCTTTTAGATGTTTATTAATGAATATACTGAAGTTCCATACGTGAGTATATTATTAACTGACCAAAAACAGTTTTTGTCTTCTATGAAGACAGTAAAACGGATCAAAAATACTTATCACAGATGAGATCGGTTCGATTTTGTCTGAAGTTCACTATCGGAAGGGTTTTTGTTTCTAAGTATTCAGTTGCAATCGCTTGTCGACAACACAAGATGGTCTCCTTCTTGTTTTCAACAAATTATTTTCAACCTTTTTAATCAAAGATAAATCAGCTCATACGGACATGATTTGATCGTACTGACTGTTAACATTAAGACGATGAGACCTTATACTAAAAACTGTCGTTGTTTTCTTATATTGTTTTTCTTCTAAATATGCACCGCTAGCCCGTTCCATTTTGACATGTGTCTCATGATTATTAATCAAAACATTATTTATTTCTCATTCTGTATCAGAGCTGCCGTCAGGTCACTTTTTTAGGCCCTCCGTCTGTTGATGCTTCTGATTTTGTGAATGGCTTTAAATCTAAAAATGAGCGTCATAGCAAGTCAAAACACAGAAAATGTAATCTCAAAAAGTTTCCATAGGAGAAAGGCTTCAATTAACATAATGTCTTCGATCATATCAGTCTGTTTTGCATTATTGAAAAAAATGTAATCATGATAACATAAGACGAGGCATACAGCGAACAGCTAAAAGAAAGTATACAATAAAAATGTAGAAAATAAGTGATGCTTATAAAAAAACAGACAAGAACATCTAAATTTGACGATCAATTTTTGCAACAGCACGATCCCAAAATTTACTAACTAATTGCTTTGGATCTAAAAAAGAATTTCTGTAAGTGAATGTAAGTCCTACAACAGTAAATTGAGGTTAGGTTTAAGCATTTGTTGTTAGAATCGAATGAACTTAGTAGTGTACTCTCAAATAATATGGCAATTTGATTTTCAAAGCTTCGAAGGCAGACCGGCAGTTCTGTTCCGTACATGAGTGCTAGAACATATTTTGCTCACATTCAGTTTTATTCAGGATCTTTTACTCCGAAGAAGCCGTTTGAAACTTCGAGGAGACTAGCTCCTAACCTCGAAGGAGCCTGCTATGTACTTCACGAGGTATTAACCTTTGAATTCGGAGGGACGAACTCGATTCTCGGGGGAGCACCTCCCCCTCCCGCCCCCCCCCCCCCCCCCCCCCCCCCCCCCCCACCCCCCCCCCCCCCCCCCCCGTCCCACTTTTTCCCGC